AGGAATAGCCAGCGACCTCCTGAGCCCGGCGTCAGTGGACCACAGCTTACCTTCAGAGGGCTGGCAACAGTGGAAACAGAGAGACGAACAGGTTAGAGAAAATGACTTGAAACTGTGCCCTGATTTTGGAAACACACTTGATGCTTATTGGAGTTGAACTTTTCCTCAGCAATAGAGAAGCTTCTGCAGTGAACACTTTTAAAGGATTTCCGTTGTTGCAATAAAAGAGTACATTTGTTAAACGAAGTATACTTGTCCTTAATATTTATATGACAAACTGCTCTGTCAGGGCTAAGAAGTTAGTTTTTTTTCCCCTAAGTTCAGGTTAACATAACCTTCTTTTCCGTGTTTCTGTAGATAACCACAGAGCTGTATGAGGCAGATTTGGAAAAGGCCTTGATTCTAAGTAAACTGGAGTATGAGCAACATAAACAGGTACATAAACTGCATTCACATACTAATAACTGATGAATGCTCGAAACAGGTGTAGATTTCACAGCTTAAAGATCTAGAAGAAGGGTATCACTACTATTTTCTAAAACAAACTGAAGTTTGTAGTTATAACATGGTAGAATCTGAAAACAGTCAAGAAGAATAAATACTTTTTTTAAAGCAATGTTCAGACAGGAATGCATTATAAGTCAATTTTAATGCAAAGGCTGTTAAAATTGCTAAAGTAAAAAAAACAACAACGTATGTCACCAATTATTAGGCATAGAGCCTCTTTGAGTCTGCAGTGTAAAACATGGTGATCATTTGACATGAATAATTGGTCATTTATGTTCATCCGAGTTAAATTAATCGCTACTGGCAGTAATAAACACCACAGATTACTGGTATGAAAACCATAAAAATGAATCAACAAGAGGCAAATGATGTGTTTGTGTCAGCAGAGCAACACAAACGTAGCTTCGCCAAAGTCACGAGGAGGGAAAGAGGGCAGCGGGAAGAAGGACAAAAAGAAAAATCAGCAGGCGAAAGACAAAAAGACGGTTTCTCTGCAGGACTTCCAAGCTGAAGGCTCTGCTGGTGGGATAAACTGGTTCATCGCTTGCAAAATCTTTTCATACGGCTGTACTTTTATGTTAAACTCGCAACTAACGTTTTCGGTGCAAAAGAAACGCTCATGCAGTTGATAAAGTTTTCACAAAATGTTATGATTGTTTTTACTGACGTCTGTTTTTTGTTGTTGTTGTTGCAGATCAATTAAGTAGAAAACAAGAGGTGAGAAAGAAGATATTTTTTATTTATTTACCTCAATAATTGTCTGACCATCACCAACATTTTTTAACCCCTTAATTAATGTTTAAAAAAAAAAATAAAAAGTAGACAGTTTTTTTGTTTTGTTTTTTTTTTTGACAGGATTCCTGCATTGTGTGGTCTAAAACAATATTGGATTTTGTTTTCCTCAGCTTTGAATAAAAATAGAAAAACTAAGTAACCACGTGGAAAAATATGTATTTGGACACTTTAGTTTATCTAAAGCAGGGGTCCCCAAACTACGGCCCGCGGGCTGGATTCGGCCCGCCTCCTCATTTGGTCCGGCCCCCTGAACAATACCAGAGAGCATTCAGTGTTTTTTTTTCATATATATGTGGATTTTTCTTCAACCACCAGGGGGGCTCTTGAGCAGATATGAAACTTAGTTTCCCTCAATGGAATATATACTAGTCAGTACCAGTCACCGTTTCACTCACGGTTTTTTTCCATTTGCATTCTGGGTAAAAATCTATCTACAAACGCGAATATGTCGTCGGCAGTAATCCAATCCCCCTACCTACCCACCAACAAAACTTTTCTAAGGTTTCTTTCTCGAAAAACTAAGACCGGCCCCCGACCAGAAAAGGGAACAGTCATGTGGCCCTCGCAGGAAAAAGTTTGGGGACCCCTGATCTCAAGGATCCATCCATTCAAAGCCTGACCACACCGAGTGTTTTAGTTATGCAGCATAATAAACTACTTCATTCTGCAGCAACTCATTTATGCCATGCACATTTTATAATTACTATATACCATCGACAGAGCGAATAGCTTTGTCCTCAGCATGAATAAACAAAACAGAAGCTTGTGTGTCTTCATGTGGACCGTTGTGTTACAAAGTGCTTATAGCTTCGAATCTTTTACATAATTTCCAGGAAACCAGAGGGACAAACATAGCGCCAGGAATCGGACAGGAGGAACGTTTTTTTAACAAAGTAGAAGATGATGTGAGTCGGATTATCCAGAGGGAGAAAAGACTTGAGCAGTTTGTGAACAGCCCGGGTCAAGAAGTCAACACACCCACAGAACACGAACCGGTGAGGGTAGATGTGGAAAGAAGCACTAATATGCTTTCATCTTTTTATTATAGCCACATGTAACTTAAGAAAGGACTCATTTCTTTTTGATGTGTATTCCCTTCAGGTGAACTTGACACATATTGCGCTTCGTGTGTCAAATGTTGAATTGTTGTTTTGTAGGATCCGCGGGCAGAACAGCTGAAATATGAGCTGGAGAAAAAGGACCAGGAGATTAAGAAACTGAAGAAGACCATCTCAGAGTGGGAGGTCAGACATGGAAACGGCTGGACTGCCGTTGCTCTGAATGAGCTAGAAAAACTTTTCACTTCACAGACGTCTGCTATTTGGATAACACACAACAAAGCAAACTAATACACTATTGTGTGATTGGTACAAATTAGCTTTATAATTGTTTCACATTGTAAATATCACTATTTATGTAAGGTGATTTTAGAAGAGACAAATAAATCATTATAAAAAATCTTGAATACTGAACTATAAAGGAATAAATTAGGACCATCCATGTTTTACTCCAGTTTAAATGAATCCAGTTGCACCGTATCACATCAGGAGCCTTTATTTGCATCTCTCCCTGTTTGAACTCATCACTAACCACCGATTCTGCTCACATCTCAACTTTACAGGTGAAATACAAAGAGGTGAAAGCGAGGAATTCCCAACTTCTTAAGATGCTCCAACAGGGGGAGAGTGAGTTTATCAGCGCAATCCTTTTCACTCCTCAGCTTCCACTTGCTCGGCCTCCTGTTTCATAACGTGATCAATGTCTTTTTGTAGTGAAAGACAAAGCAGAGATTCTTCTGCAGGTAGAAGAGCTGTTGCACATCAAAGAAGAACTGTCCTCACAGGTTTGTCACGCAGAGGCCAATGTTGGTTGTCTCGCACGGTTGTGCATTTCTGTAGACATAAATAATATTCTTTGTTCTTTTACTCAGGTAACATTATTACATGCTGCTCTTGAACAAGAAAGATCAAAAGTTAAAGGGCTCCAATCAGAGCAACCCAAACATCAGGTGAGGACAAAGATGATTGTGTTTTGTTTCACTTCTCTGTGTGGCGACATGTTTACATGCAGAGGAGGAGCTGAGCTCTGAGTTTAGTGCCTGTAATAATTCACACTGGTCATTAGAAAACCCAATCGCTCGTTTAGGTGCGATCTATAATAGATTACAAACCTCAGACAGAAACCTCATATTGTTCCTCACTGGGGAAATTCAGGTGTACCAGTAGGAAAGTTACAGGCAAACTGGAAACATTTAGACTCGCATAAATGTAAATCTATTGATGGACCGACCGCTGGCTAACGGTGCATGTTCCTCAGTTGTCTTTTCTTTATGTGTTCACCTCTTTGTTTTTATCCTACACTTGAATCATGGAGAAAAATGCATATTTATGTAAACTAATTTCTACCATCATCCTAAAGTAATTATGTGGGTTTTCTTTTTTTCTTTTTTTTTTTTCTGGTTTGCAGGGAAACAAGAAAGGGAAGAAAGGCTCTGAAGTGGATCAATGAAGATTTCTGAAGGAGGAAGAAAAAAATGAACAGAAATAAGAAAAATGAACAAATTAAAAAAGTGATGCTGATTATTAAGGTTCTATTTTTATTTCATTTTTTTTCCCCTCTTATTTTTATTTTACTTTTTATAGTCTGACCGTCAGCTTGCATGTCCCATTAAATGCACAGAATATACTCCAGATGTGGCATGCTGTATTAAACAACCAAGTGACATTTATTTATTTTTTTTTTTAACTGAGTTCAAAGTCTTTTTGGAAACGGTTGCTCTGCAGAGCCGCAGCATCTCCAATGCTCCAAAAGCTGTGTGCCTCTTTTCATGGATTCTGATGCCAAATTGACAGATTGAAATATACGTTAATGGGGGTGGTAGGCTGTTCTTGCTCACTGTGAAGTAAAATAAAATACTTTTTCAGTGAGTTTTTTGGTTTTTTTTTAAAAACATTAATATTTTTACATTTTCAAAAAAAAAAAAAAAAAAAAATTAAATTGTGAAACCATGGTTCTCAAAGTGTTCTAGAAACACTCATGATATTGAGCGTTGTCTAATGATACTCAGGAGAAACACTGGTGTCTATTAATTGCAGAGAAAAGATTTTTAAAACTCCTATTTTGAACTAAAGCGGATGGAAGTGAACCAGTAATGAGTGCTGGTAAAAATTTATTTCTCTTCATTTCATAGTTTATAACATGACTGACACATTCACAAAGGTAATGTGAAGGATTTATCGGAATACAATTTTTAAGCTTATTTAAAACATTTTTTTCTACCGCTGTTGTCACCAATGCAAAGCAGCCATGTTAGATTATGAGGTCAGGATTTCCAACTTTAACGGGCAAACCAGAGAAACCCGAAGAATTAAATTAAGTACTTAGTTTATGAAGTTTTTTTTTTTTACATAAAAAAAATGTATCCTCCTAATTAAAAATAGTCAAAAAAAGAAATTAAAGACAAAAACTAATGATAGAACAGCGAGCTTTTTCATTGAGACCAACTAGTAAAAAAAAATGTTCTGTATTCTTGTAAAAGTGTAATGGTTTGTTAAAAATTTTATGTTTAATTTTTGACAGAGAATGTAAAGGTAAAATCTTTTGCTATTAAGCATTTCCAGGTACTCTTTACATTTCTTAAGTTGATTAGGGTTTAATAAAAGCTGCTCACATAGGGAGAGTACAGCCCTGACTGTGCAGTTCCAGCTGGCCCACATATTCACAACCTTCTGCCGAGTCATCCACACACACACACACACACACACTCCCCACTCTGAGACGACTGCTCCAGGTCTGCCTTTGATCCTCATCCTCTGCCCGAACAAATCTGAGATGTCGGACGCAGTGAAAGATAAACCTGTAAACCCTGAAACCCCCCTCAGGTCGGACAGGACCCACGTCGTCCTCAGAAGCGCCTCGGAGAGCAGAGCCTTCACCGTCAGAGGAAACTGCACCGTCACACAGGTCGGGAAGCTGGAAACTGTTTCTGTCGTCTGCAGACGGCCTAGTGCAATCCTCAAACTAAGCTGTCATTGCTTTGGCGTGTGTGTGTGTGTGTTTTTGTGTGTGCGCACAGCTGAAACGGTGTCTGTCGGAGCGGCTGCGTGTCCCAGCAGAGCAGCTGGTGCTGCTCCTCTCCGGACGGGTCCTCAGGGAGGCAGAACTCATGAGTCACCTTACAGAACAGAAAGGATCGATCAGCCTCTGCGTGATCCGAAGGTACGAAGCGCAGCGACGATCAGTACATCAGTGATGAAAAGTTATAGTTATATTATGAAATACATAATGGATGACAAATTTGTAGCGATTTTACAAAATAGAAACAATTACAAGTGTTTTAAAGACGTCGATAAGCTAAGATGGTGTATCTGCGGTGTTTCGGTTGTAATTTATTGTTGCAGTGCAGGGTGGAGGCGACTCTTCCTTTGTAAAATACTGTTCGCTCGATACTCTTAAGACGTCCAATGCCTTGACTTGTCAGACTAATCTGTCAGGGTTTTTCATATGTGCCTGTATGGCTCATCACCCAGAGCATCTTTTTGTCTGAACGTGAGCACAGAGCCTTGAAATAAAGGATTTTATTTCAAATCTAAGAAGCATACACTCCATAAAATAACCAGTAGTTGTGCCACACTTGGCATTAGCCATCAGTTATGCAGGTCGTCCAGGTCCTGAAGCCGAAAAGCAGCTCCAAATCACTTCACCGCCTCCAAAATGTTCATGCATTTTGGAGAAATAAATGACAATGCAGGAATGCACTTAGCTTAACAAGAGCCTACTGTCAGAATGATGTAATTTCTTTAAATGCTGTGTACGCTGGACTGATATATATATATACTCTTGAATTTCTTTTGATTGAGATCTGATGCATCGCTTTTTCAGATTCTTTTGCCTACTTCTTGTCGTCATACAAGTTTTATTTACGGTAAATGTTTTCTTAATTCCTCAGAAAAGTTGTTACAGTTAAATCATGATGTAACAAGCGGGCCAAGATATTTTCTCACACGACTTGACGCAGTCCATTTTTACATTGAAGAAATTTGGGACATAACCAAACAAAATGAATCAAATTTGAAATAAGCAGGCGCACTCAGATTTGAAGAACACATCGGAAAAGGCTCTTAAAATGAGTCACTCTGATTCTGAATGGGAAACTGATTCTTTTCAAGACATCGTCCTGTTATCTGAAATTTGTTGACTGTGTGTGGGCAGAGCACGACTGAAATGTTATTTTATTTTTATTCTGGCAAATAAGACGACAATAAATAATTTTTATTAGATCTAATTGGTTATTAATGGGGGGTTTTTTGTCCCCAAACAAGCAGATTTTTACTGGATAACTGCTTCACTGAAATTATTTTTATAAGACGGGCTTTTCAGTACATACATCAGGTTTAAGTATAAACTCAGTTCGTCTTTCTTAGGCCTGAACCTTCATCGACTCGGACCTCCAGTGATCCAGTTTCAGAACCTGATGGGTCAGAGCTAAAAGCTGTTCCTGACCCAGAGCCCAACCAAACACCAACTCCCACCTCTCCACTCTGCTCAGGTAAAACCTGTCAAACATTCATGTCTCTCCAGTCATCTACCCCCCCCCTGCTCTCCAGTGTTTTCAAGTCCTTCTGTCTTTTTTCTCGTTCCGTCTTGTCTCAGCCGAGGGTTTGGACAGTCTCGGCTCGGAAAACAGCAGATCCAGCTTTCTTACTGCCCTCTGGAGCCAAATGGAGAGCGAGTTACCGAGTGACCCAGAACTGATGCACCGTGTTCTGGCCAGCCCACTGGTGCAGAATGCCCTCTGCACCTCCAGCCCTCCGCTAACAGGACAACGCTCTCCGTCGAATCCTCAAATTCAACAGCTCCTGACAACAAACCCTGAGGTGGAGGACATGTTGAACAACCCAGATGCCATAGAGCAGGTGAGTGTGTGTTTGAGGTACAGTTTTTTGTTTTTTTTTTGCAAGTTGTTTGAGTGGTATTTCTATTATTGTACCTTTCACATTTAAACTTAGATAAGTTCAAATGTGGAAAGATTCTCTTCCTTTGTGGTGTGCCTCAAACATCACATCTCCCTTTGTTCCTCTCCAGCCGCTGGGACTCATCAGGGAGCCTGAAATGACAGAAGAGGTGATACAAAAAGAAGACGGAGCTTTAGAAAACGTGCCCATGGTGCAGGATAACCCTGCAAACACTGCTCTGCATGTCTTTCAGACAAATGACGCAAAAATGCAGCAACAGGATATTAAACAGACTCAGGTAAAGCAATGAAGGTCACGATTGGATATTTAACATAGTTCATTGGTTATATCAGAGGTTTGCTTCTGGTGCCTCTGGTCTTTCAGAAAACAATGTTTCCATTACTCACTACATCATGCGAGAGTCACCAGGGACCAGGAGGACGAACCAGCCCAACATCACCTCCGTCCCCTGACTCCACAGATTCCCTCAGAGAGCTGACTGCTTCTCCCATTACCGGTTCTCTTAATGCAGGTAAGAAAATGTGCATGAATCCAGTCAACTTATGCATAAAGTGTGGATGATTTGTAGGAAATCATAATCTCAATTCAGTCCTGAGCATTTCTCAGAAGGTTAAATATCAAATATCTGAAATGTGATATATGTACATACTGTGGCTGCTGCCTTCAGGTCTGCAGTCGCTCCTGCAGGAGATCACAGCCAGTCCGGGTCTGACGGAGATTCTGCTCTCTGGGCCGCACATCAACTGTGTTCTGAACTGTCTCAGCCAGAACCCGGACTTTGCTGCACAGGTGATGCGTGGATGGGTCTAGTTTTTTGTTTTTTCACTTAAAGTAAAGACTTATTATCTGTTGTTACTTCAGGAAAAGTCATTTTCTATCCTTCACCACTTAAAGAACAGGTTGCCACCGTTTATGCAAGAACATAGATGATTCCAGATTTATCCTCTTCCAGCTGCGACATGTAGTTCCACCACTAGATGTCACTAAATCCCCACACATTGCTCTTTTAACCATGACTTTAAATCATTCCTTCCTCCTGAGGAGCTGAGAAACTTCAGTGCTGATGTATTTCCTGTTGCTTCAGATGCTGCTGAGCCATCCCTTGCTCTCAGGAAATGTTCAGCTGCAGGAGCAGATGAGGCAGCACATTCCTCTCTTTCTGAAGCAGGTTTGTTTATTCACTCCAGGGTTATTGTAATATTATATTCTTCATATTTTTGACAGATACCAAATTTTTTTTTTTTTTGTAATTAATATTTATTTGTCACTAAAATAGATGTGGTATGGAAAGAGTTTGGTCTTGCCATACCGCCATATGAAACATTCAGCTATCTCTGATTCAAAAATGTTATTTATTATTGTTCAATGCATTATAGATGCAGAATGGAGAGCTGCTGTCCATGATGCTGAACCCCAGAGCAATGGAGGCTTTGCTACAGATCCAACAGGGGCTGCAGACTCTGGCTGCAGATACTCCCTTCCTCATGCCAGTGTGAGCAAAAATGTCTAAACATTTCATTTGTTCTACATGAGTTACTAAAGTAAAACGGATGTCTTATTAAGAGGGTTTTCACTAAAACTTCAAAACTTGTAAAGAAAATGATCAAATTTAACAATTCTTGAAAAGTCTCAATTTTCCACACTAAGTATTAAATTCCATCTTTAATTTGTACATTTAATTTGTTTATTTGTATTTCAATGTTTTCCCCCTCATTGATACGAGAGAAGAAAAAAAAGAAGAAGAAATGTGTCCATTGTTCTTTTAGGCAATGAAATTGAAAATATTGTTACAATTTCTATTACTTCCCTTGAAAGTAAAATGTTTAAAGAGTTTTGATATGAAAACTGGAATTTCAGTAGTTGGTTAGAGCCTGTCATGAGTCACTGTTCCGAAGTTTTTAGTATTCTGTAAGAAAACCTTAAAGTCTGATTGCAAGTCAAAAATAAACATCCACTTAAGTAGGTACAAATATATTTTCAATTCATAATGAGTAAGTCAATTTAATTTTAAAGCTAAGCTAGACTTATTTATCTATCCTAATTTATGTAATCCATTAATTTAAATGATCATGTCTTATATACATAAAAGTCTGAAACTGAAATGACCTTTTTCAACAATGTATCTTTTTGGCAGTGCGGGACCTGGAACCAGTGCTGGTTCTGCTCAGCACCCATCTGATCCCAGCCTGAACAACCAGACTGGCTGCCGTCCTCAGGACGCCCCACTGACAGAGCAGCAGCTGCAGGAGCAGTTTGTACATCAGATGCTAAAGGCACTGGCTAACACCAACGATGGGGTAACTCACTGATTCCCTGGTGACTAAAATTGTTTAACTCTTTTTACGTGTAAAATTGTAATATTAGAAAGCATAAGTCCCTTAAATAACCAAAATGTTATTGTTAGCAACTGTTAGTATTTGCTAAATGGATGTTTCTACAATGTCTCGCCAAAAATGTTTATGCCTCTTTTCAGTTAACAACCACAGATCTTAACATGTTTTAATGAGATTTCGTGTGAGCAACCCAGATGTTTTTTTTATCCAGTTTGCCCTATTCATCAACTCCAACCAGCTACATAATTCAACTATGCAACCGGTTTCCTTGTTCTGGTTGTTAGCATTTTTAAATTGAGATAATAAAATAACAAAACAATTCTTCAAGATTATTGGTCAAATAAGCCTGTTATAATAACTCCTTTCATCCTTACTCCACTATGTACAATGTGCAAAAATGTAAAAATGCATTAATGATTTAGAGACATGCATTGTGTCACCAAACATTCAGACTGCATTAAGAAATTACAGTACAGATTGTAGTTATTCAGTCACAAGAACTTCAAATGGTTTTGATTTTGTTACCTGTCAGGTCCGTCATGAGGAAGAGGAGGATTTCCAGGAGGAGCTGCAGCAGCTGAACTCGATGGGCTTCAGGGACAGAAAGGCAAACCTTCAGGCCCTCATCAGCTCAGGAGGAGACCTGTCCTCTGCTCTACACCTGCTCAGTCCTTAACAATTAATTATCAGTTATTAACAAGTGAATTACAAAAAAAAAAAAAAAAAAAAAGCAGATGTAATTGTAAGCCATATTTAAACACAAAGTGTCATCTAATATAGTGATAAATCACTGGTAGAAACATGTATCCACCAACACAACCGAGCAACAGTGCAGATGTAGATTATAGGCGCTGACTAAACCAGAACTCACAGGAAAAAAATAACAAAAAGTATTTAACTGAATTATGGCAGGGATCTACACCACATATTCATATTTTAGTAAACAAACCGAGTGTTTGATAGGAACCAGATGAATTATTTAGCAGAAAAATAGGAGTTTGTAGTGGAGAAAAAAAAAAAAGTCTGCTTTGATGCTTCGATTCTACTCTACATGCAGTAGATTCATAGCGTCTGCATCAATATTTAAAAGCAGGTGATTTATTATGAATGTCTGGCACACGGTGATGCCTCTTTGCTTTGCTGCCTCCTGGTCACCGTCTCTCGCCCAGGCAGATGTCCTGTAAGTTCACACATGCTTCACAGTCTTAACAGATTAAACCTCAAACTCAACAAGTGGTGATGCGTGTCCCGACACACCCAGGTTGTTCACATGTGTTAATCACAGACTGACTCAGGTGTGGCTATCTAAACATTCAGGTTCTTAACAAATGTGCACATGTCGACATTTAGCTGTTCTTTATTCAAATAGAAACAAAGATATTTAATTGCACTTAATAAAAATGAACATGGTTTTCCCTCGTTAAGCAAAACACAAACTTGTTTTCTAACTGAGAAAAAAGTTAGGACACCGTAATAGTCTTGCTTGTTTTAGCTGAAACAACTTCTGTGAGGTGCTTCTTTAGCTTCTTTACTCCACTTCTCACTTTGAGAGATTTCCTCGAGCATCTTGTGCTCTGCTCTCAGGGCCAACCTGTTTGGATGGCCACTCCTGAACATGTTACTGGTTCATTTTAATGTCCTGAACTTTCTGACTGTCTTCTACACACTGAAGTGGCTGATTTCTAATTATTTTGAGACTTTAAAAAAAAAATAATAATAATCCCTTTGCAGACTCAAAAGCTGATGAGTAATGATCTCTTGTGTGCACCTGATGTGATAACTGCCTAAAGTTTGAGCCATTTAAAGCGGGAAGATATGCTGGGGGTACACCAGAACTTTAATTTATTTTAAAATATCTTCTCTTCTGTTTGTATAGATTTTTTTTTACAAATATATTTATTTCAGTGTTGTTAAAATTGGCATTTAATGTCAATATATTTATTGATATTAAATGTACACATCCCTCCCAAACAATAGTAAATGTAACATTCTAAATAAAACATGCTTTGATGTATTTATTTTTCTTGTCCAACAAGGAAAAAAATAACTTTGTTTACAATATAATTCTTCTCAAAACGTTGTTACTGTGAGATATTTCAGTTTTTTTTGTCTTAAACACATCATCAAACATTACCAGCTTTATTCTTTCATTCCCTTTGATGAAATTTTAAAGAACTGAAGTTGAAACATACTTGTATTTGTTGCAGTTCTGTTAGTCTTATTTAACCAATATCAACTCAAGGGGTTGTTTCCAAAATAACATCCCTGTTTTATTTCCAAAAAAAGAGAGCTGTATTTTTGTTGTTTTACGGTTGATTTTAATGTTTTAATCAGTCACTCAAAACCGAACAGGTAAATGTATTACGGTAGCTGTGTGACTTTGTTTACTTTTTCTCAAAATACCTGCAGTAACTTTTGTTTCTGGCTTCCAAAAAGGCTCTGGAAAATATCTACTTTTGATAAGTTGTGATCTCTACAGATTGGAAAACCTTCTAACTTTAAACACTAGAGGGCAGTTTTGTTTGCCTTTTTGTTAAGTTTTTTTTTTTTTGGTCTGGGATTTAAACAGCACTGCAGGTTAATTAATAACTTCATATTTATCTGCAATGCTTGATTTAGAAATCATTAACTTCACAGTTTAAATGGTTAAATAAACATACAAAACGCATTTTAATGCCACCTTTAGAAGCAACCTTATTTTGTTTAACAATAAAAGTTGATGTCTACCTAAAGTGTATCCTAAATGTGCAAGAGTCGCTCTGAGATCTTCAGCTTCCTGACAAGCATGACGCGTTCTCGACGCGTTCTCGACACACACGCCTGCGTGTGTGTGTGTTCTCCACTTGACAACCTGCCTGAGTTTCTCTATGGCTGCCAGACGGAGGGGGTTTAATCTCCAGCTGTGTGAGGGTGAGAGATATGGGAGTAGCTGAGGGGGTTTTCTGGATTAGAAGCTCCAAAAATATTCAAGTTGAGGTTTGAAGATGAGTCATGGCACAGAAACAGCTCTTCAGTATGGAGTGGAGCGCTCTCTCGCTCAGAGTGTGTCTTCTGAAGATACCAGCAGACCTGACAAATGAGGTTACAAAGTTTCGACTTGCTAGCGAGAAGACAGAAACTTGCCGTTCACCTGTGTGCTTTGAATCTGCAGTCGTCTTTGGTCTTATTAAATGTGAGGAATGCACCTTCAAAATTTGGTTGCTGCTTTTTGATGTTCATCTTCAAAAAGATGAACTTGCTGTTTATTTCAAACGCTTTCCAGTGGAAATTAGAACAAATATTTGAGATTTAATTCTCTTAACTTTCTGACAACAGATTTGAAGTTTAATTCGATTAACTCTAAAATATATATTTTAAAACGAACGTCGTGTAAATTTTAAAATTTAAATGAGAAAGATGTCTAGTAGAGACCTGTGTTTAATGATTTCCCATCCTGCAAAGTGTGAACTTCTACATTGTAATTAACGAGATGGTCAAGAACCTCTGAACTTCTCTAAAAATCTTAAAATGTATGGAATCTGTAAGAATTAAAGTTACTTACGTCGGACTCAATCAGCTTTGTGGTTAAACCAGGACGGATCAGGACATACGAGCATTAAACCTCAACAGGTTTGATTCAGATCTTTTGAGGTTTCAAACATTTTAACTGCACAGAATAACAAAGATTCCCCATTTTAGGCAGAAGGGGAAAAACTTTGCCTTTCTCAGCTTTAATACACGGACACAGATTAAGACGTTATCCTGAAGTAATACTAGAGTAAAGCTTCTTGGTGCTCATCTAAGGTAGAACGTTTCTTTAAAACTGGACTGGGCTTTAGAAAAACGGCAGCAAAAATCCCCCAAATCATCTGTACCAAGTCGGCAGACGCCTGAGGCTGAACCTGCTGCAAAGCCGAGAATCCCTCCAGCTAAACCTGGAAGGTTTCAGACAACCTATAGGTTTAACATTCATTCAACCAAGTCGTTTGTTTCTGGTAGGAAGTGGAGCAGACGTACCCAAAAGAATAAAACAAGTGTTTTTATTTGCGCATTTGCATATAATAAAAAAATAAATGTTTAATAATCAGCTCCCTTCTCAATAATCAAAGGCAAAATCTTTATAGGCATTACAGCAATCAAACTCTCCTTATAACTGCTGAGAGGCAGATTTTTTTCTATCTGAGCTCCAAATGTTTGAAAGTGGAAGGGCTCCTTGTCATCACCCTAATCTTCAGCTCCCATCACAGATTCCCAATCAGATTTAATCCAGTCGCTCTAAAAAGATTAAGATTACCTCCAGTGAGAAGAAACAAGTTGGCAAAATTAAAATATTACTTTAAACTTAAATCTGCCAGAAGTATGAATAATTTCACTCTTAACTTTGCATACATTTTAACTTTGTATAATCTTGAAAACATTTTACTTCTGATCCTTTTACTTATTGTGAGAAAATTTTCAAGGAATGCACTTAGTGATCATCAGGTAAACTTCTATCATCTTGTTGATTCCCAGAAAAAGACAATTTATTATAAAAAATATTATTTCTTTCGGGGAGAAAAACGCATATAACAACACACAGGAATACATTCTGGACTTCATTTGCTGAAAATGAAATAGGTTAAGAGAAGAGGAAAATGATCATAAAGAGTTATTGCTGTGTAGCAAATAATGTGCTTATTACTCATATGAAACATTTAAGACATCTGGATTTGAGGGTCTTTTCAGGGCAATAAAGCAAAAGTTCAGTTCATTTACCCATGAAAAAATGGGTAAGAATCACTCAAGTAATTCACCGCGTACTGTTCAAATTCATTTGCCACGATTCCCGCTTCACAACTTCAGACTCTCAATGTGCTTCTCTACTTCCAGGATCATCTCGTTCCGGCTTTTCCTGATGTCCAGGGTGAGCGCGTTCTCCTCGTCTGACGGAGGCTCCAAAATATCAAACTGGGAGCGCAGCAGATCTGCCTTCATGTAATGTCCCTGTCGGGCCACCATCCTCTGGTGAATGAGATCGTAGTCGCCATGCAGGTAGAGGAAGAAGACCTCTGGAGAGGAGGGAAGTGAGGCGCTACTGGTCGGTGCCACCGCCGTGGCGCCGTGGAGGAGGATCTGCCGGTAGAGGCGCTTCAGAGCTGAACACGCTAAAAGAGCGTCTGAGCCTGAAGACCTTTCTCTGTGTCGGGAAAACATGAACAGAAATTTAAATATTGAAATGTCAGAGACTTCCCCTGATATACTGCATGGTTATTAATATTTTTAAAGTGAGGAATGAACTAAAATGTCAAAGTTTACTTTGGTCACAAAGCGACGGAGCGGATGGAGAAAAAAAAGCAGCACAACGATGAGCAGGCGGTGGGGAAAAAAAACAGGAGAAGCCGTCTTTGATGTCACCGGAGGCATTTTAACATCTTCACTTCTTCTCCTCACTCTCTCTCTCTCTCTAAATCTGCTTTTACTCCCCCAAACTCCCTTCCCAGTCGCTGCGGTTTTCAGCTTAATTTTCAAACCCATTTTTGCTATTTTTTGATCTTTCTGAATATTTTTATGTCTGCTTCGTCCTACCTCACCGCTATGCTTTTGAGATTTGTAAAACTGGATCTGGCTTGCTTCCATCAGTAGAAATATCAGGTATTTCATTGCTGCATACAATAGTCCAAAGAGTCTATAACGTTAAGGATGCAGTTAGATTTGATCTAAAATATGTTAGTAGTAGTACGGGTGTGAACCGATGTCATAAAAGAGAATATTTGTGAGTCTCTGTGTGGTTCTCACCTCTCAATGACTTCATGTAGTCTGAGAAGCCAAGGAAGTCTGTCCTGAAAGACAAGAAATAATAAATTAAGATGTTTTCAGTTCAATGAACTGATTTGAAGTTTAATTCGATTAACTCTAAAATATATAGAGTTAATTTTAGGTAATAAATATAAATCCTAAACATATTTTAAGAAAAAATGGGTTAGTTATGTTATGTAATTAGGTCAGATATTAGGTAAAACGTCTGAGAACTTTTACAGTGCCAGACAGATTTTTTTTTTGTAAGCAAATTGAAAACAAGTAATATTCCTTTGAGAACTAAGAAATAAAATTAACTAATGTAACATCTGTAACTGTAAAGCAGCAGAAATCTCAATACGTTGATTCACACTAAGGGCTCGTTTTAAAGACACTCAACACATAAAACTTGTTTAGGTGATATTAATAAAACACAAGCAAACAAATCAGGCAGAGACAGTGAGATCTGAGATCAATGAGCTCCATAACAGAGTCTCACACCTTTAGGTCCTGGCTTCGACTCATTTTGTTTATGCCAGCCTCATTCTGCCAACTAACACCAGAATGAAAGGTTTGTTGTCACGAAAGCCTGACAGTAATCCTTTATTTACATTTCTGCTTTGCTCCATCATTTAATCTCAATCTGCCAACTGTTGACTGTCACTGAATCATTTGCGGCATGTGTTGGACGGAGGTATTCCTCCGCAGCCTTCAGAGTAAACCCCTGCGTGGGAGGTTATCATCTGTCACCAAACAGCAAAATGGCGCCAAATGCTGCCAGATTCTCTCTGCCGGGAAGGAAAGAAGAACGGACACAAAGAAAAAAGGAGAAAATGACAGGAGGGGTGAGGGAAGGAGACAATGGCGAGAGGATTCTTTCTTTCGACTCAAAGAAAGAATAAAGTATTATAAGACTGTGGGGCGTTTCACTGAAGCAGAGAAGCAATGGAAACGGGGTGGTCGTTTTTTGTAAGAGTAGGGAAAATATATATAAATACTGGTTATAAGCCATAACGTCAATATTAATATCTGCAGTTGGCCCAAATTTCTTATAACGGTGCATCCAGAGTTTTATGAAATGGGTAGAAGAGTCTGGAAATACAAGTGCGATTCAGTTGTCAATCCAGTTGTCAAGCTTTGTTGTGGTTTAGGAGAATAATTTAATCGTGAACTGAACTCTGGTAATAATTTACACGTTAACTAAAGCTGACATGAAAACCTACAGGACATTGTTTGTGTGGAAACATTTGTAGCAAGGTATACACTGTTGTCGTGTTATACCATTTTAATTGCGTTGTCCTGACAAAGCTACAGAGGTCCCCAATGTTTATGACAAAATCAGTTTCTGTAACTGATGGGTGAAATAAAAAAAAATAAAAATGCACACAAACACACGCGTGCAGACTCCTGGGCTGACCTGGTCTGTGAGCGGTTCTCCACGAGCCATCTTCTCAATGTTCTCCTGCGGGTGGAAGTTGTCGCCTTCATAGAAGGGCCAGCCAAGCTGAGGAGAACCATGCATGACAAGGTCAGTATAAATGTCCTTCCGTATGAACATAACGCCAGCAGAGAGTGTTGTGTTTGGGTAGTGAGCCGTCCAAGTTTTTACCCTTTCAGAAAGGAATGTCCCCAAACTGGTTCTGTTTTCCCAAAAAAAAAAAAAAAAAAAAACAAGAAAGAAAAACAGACAAAAATGAGCTAACTTATTAAACTAATGTTCACAATACTTTTCTGTATTAGGCAGACAAATGATTGCTGGAAATCAGACAGTGCAACGTTAATAAACCTAATTTCAGAATGGTGGAAAATACAGAAAATACTGAATTGAAAATACAGTCATCCTGTTTTCAGGGTGGAGTGATTTGAAGTGAATGACAATACCTCATAAAGGTTGGATTATTTATTAAATGTGTCACTCCATAAGCTACTTTGTTAAATTCATATATCAAAAATCACAGATTTTTAAAGAACAATAGTTAGTGAACCCTATAAGAACACATACGTACTTTCCACAACCCGAGACTCCCATTATGATGTAGATCATTTTGTCTGTGACGTTCAGAAGTGCTAAAACAAATGATACAACAAATCAAATACTGCATAATCAAGTGTAGAAGGTTACAGATCCTTCTAGCAACCAAATTAATACCACAGTTTTAAAATGAATATATTTTTTATTGAAGTAACATTTTCTTACACTGAAAAAAAAACAGAATAGTTTTATATAAAATCAGTGGTTCCTCAGTCATTGCTACACTTAACTGCAAAATAAATGAAACTATTTTTATGCTATATTTAACTTTTTTAAATTGATCAGCTTGTCTAGAAAATGTCTAGTAAAACCATGCTGTTATGTTGCGGTACGAATATGTAAAGCCACAAATGCCAATTTCAAGGTCAAATATGTGGAAAATGATCTCATGCCCACTGTAAAGTATGGTGGAGGATTTGTGGTGCTGAGGGCCTGTTTTGGTTTTAAAGTACCTCGGTAGAAGAGCAATGTATCATGAACTCTTTTAAATACTTTTGAATAATAAATCATATTAAAGTTTGTAGGATGAGCAGAAGAGAAGGAAGAATATGACTGTTGGAGAGAAAAAGTCCCCCACTTGTTATTCTCCAGTCTTGTGAAATGTTAACACTGAATGCTGTCATGTTGTAAAAAGTGCTGACAGAAGGGGTAGCTACCCGTAACTGCGATGTAAAACTGTCCTATTTTTTTAGCGTAGGATTCTCCAACAATATAAAATGCTGCCGAAATTAGTTCAAGCCTTTTTATGCATCTTTGCAAGCGGTCCAAACAACTGCACACTGTATACCGACTCACCGTTAGCCTACAGTGACTGAACAGATGCTGTTTCCGTAGCTTCTGTCACAGCAGCAGCAAAACAATAAATGGAGAAACCCTGCTGACAAACGCCCCACTTTATTTGTTAGTGTCTGTAAAACTCTGAGAGGGTACAACGACTCAGGGCTCAGCAAGATAACCCAACAAACGCATTACTGCAGCTCCGAAAGCGCTTGGACCGTGGCCACGAGTTGTTCTGATACGTAATGACGCACGCCGCTTACGTTGACAATTTAAAGGTACAGGGTCCTCGACTCGCGTTACATCAAAATAAATAGGGGCTTCTAAGCTGGCCTTGACGTCATTATTGCGGGCAATTTAGGGAGTTTGGACCAGAAAGGCTTAAAATAAAATAAAATGTAAGAATACATGTAAATTAAGTAATTAATTATTAATATTGTATTATTGTTTTATTCTATAAAATATACGTGATTGCACTTAATTACAAAGAAATATATAATCACATTATATAAAGAGAGCTATTTAGAATATTGTTTGGAAATCTGAGTGCAGCTGTCAGATTTTACTGCAGCGAATTCACCTGAATCGTCAGCATAAACAAAGTGATGGAGCTGAAATTTGATGGACACACACAGCGGAAGCAGGGTTAAACCAGACGGAGAGAGAGAGAGAGAGAGAGAGGGAGAGGAGAAAAGCCATCATCTCTCCTGGAGATCAATAAGCGGGCCACAAAGAGAGCAGACGGACACAATCCTTCCTTCCTCCCTCCCGCTCTGTCGCATCCATCCATTCTCTTATCCATCCATCTATCCATTCATCCATCCACCCATTCATCTCCAAGGGCGGTTCAAGGGGTGACGAGACCAGACGGACACATGTTATGCCGTGCGTAAAGCGTGACCCCTCCGTGTGTTTTTTACACGTTTTTTTTTTTCTTTTTTGCATCTGTTTCGCACTTGGAGACACTGACATGAGGAGCTGAAACCGACACCGACCCAACAATGAAAATGCTCCGGTTTCGCAGCCCCAGCATACGCTCCTTGGACCAGGAGGTCCTCTGCACGATCCGATTACTGGACGACTCCGAGATCTCCTGCACCATCCAGGTAGAGGACTGAAAACCTTGTTGATATTACTATTAATTTTATTTGTACACACAGACAAGAGGCAAAATAAGACTGTAACAGTCTACCCTCATGGTGAACACTATCATGATGTTTACTTGGAGGAACAGCATTTGCGCGCATCCTTCCTGCAGTTTGCATGCCGTAATTTACTGTGGACTGGTTCTCTTTGCTCTACATACTAAAGAGAGACATGCATTTGTTATGAGAAATATTAATGTGAGTCACAGTGAGAGAAGTTATAATGAACTTTGCTTCATCGTCAAAAAAGACACGATGGAGCTCCATGGGCTTGGTGGGGAATATGGTAAATATTTAGGGGTTGTTCATTTAAAATATCCAAATAAAGTTGGATTAGTGGAAGGTTGATGTTGGTGTTTACTTCTGTGATTTAGGCACCCATAGATGCGATACATTTTACTACTAAAACTAAGAAAGTGATCATAAAGCTCTCAGAAGAAATGAATTTTGCTTTGTTTTGTTTTAAGTTATAAATCTTTGGATTTGATTTATTTTATATTTCTCTCCTACTAAAGTTAGATGGATCTCATCTGAGTTTATTTCCAGTTTATTTCCATTCTAAATGCAGCTGCTTGTGGAGTCTGAGAGTTCACAAGATTCGTATCTAATTTGACTCGATTTCTTACCTGCTACTGCTGTACACTTCCACTAATTTAGCTGTTAGTCATGGAAGATAATCATCAGTATGAAAGCATTCGAGCGAATTAAGGTGTGGCCAGTGATAGTATTTAGTTTCAGGTTGCAGTATGTTCCAGAACTGCAGCTTTTATATCCAGCTGAGATCAGGGGTTTTTTATCCTTAAGTCTATGAGCTGGTAACAAACACTGGTGCTTACAAGTTTACTTACATTCATCGTAAGCATAAATGTCATAAATTTTGTAATTGTACTTATTTCCTTGAGCTGCTTTTCTTTCCTAGCTGGAATGATTCAACAACATAAAACATAAGAAAACAAAAGTTGGGTGTACAAGTTTGAATTTTTCATGAATTTTCTCTAATCACAGATTGGTTGAAATTATACACATATCAAATTGCATACAGAAATATCCCAACTATTATTTGATCAAATGTCTGCAGAAAAAAACATGCACTGTGTGTAGCTATCAGCCTTCTGACTTAATTCTGCCTGGATATTTGTCGTCTCTTCTTACCAAAAATGGTAGAACAATTGCTTTTTTTGTTGTTGTTGTTTTCTGGCAGAGTTTTCTTGACTTTGAAGTTATTCCAGAAGCTTAATGTTAGTCTTCTTTGTTAATTCAGAAACTATCTTTGATGTGTCTGTGTTTAAATTATGACAAGCAGTCATTTTATGATTAATTCAAACCAAACATAAGTTCATTTTACATCACATTGCCTGCTGATTGAGAAAGAAGCACCTGCTCCAAAATTGACATCTAGGTTTAAATTGGACAAAAAGGCTTCTCGTCAGAGAACACAAATAGACTGATTGTAGGAGTCAGCACTGTATCAGCTGTCATCCATGCTGGTGGCAGTGTCATGCTGTGGGATCTGATTTCAGCTACTTGTACATTGTACAAAGTGAATGTAATAATGAAGATGAAGAGCTTCCTTCAAATCATTCACCCTTACATCAAATTTACAGCTAGTTAAAACAAGACACAACAGGATGTTTCAGCAGCAGAACTAAATAATTAAAACTGGTTCTGGGACAGATATAGCAGGCTACAACATTTTAAAAGAAAGTCTGTCAGCACTGCCTAGAGCAGCTGCCAAATATCCTGACAGAATTTTGCAAGTGGAGCTTTTTGATGGCTAAAGAAAGCATGCAGTTGATGTACAGCTTACTAAATGACATTTATGCAAATAGTAGCCAGTAGGAACGTATATTTTTCAGCCTGCATGAATAACTTTCCGTACAAGTAACAGACAAATGGGATCTAAAAAGTGGCTGAAAAACTAAGAGAAAAATTGTTGAGGGTATTAACGTTTAGGCCCTCAACATTTATCTAAAGTTTTGTGAAACTGAAAAACTTCCTTGAAAGTGCATGCTGCTGGTTGATGTTTCGAGATCTTTTGGCGCAGTTGCCTATTTTTATTTTTTTGTAAATGGCTCAATCTGTAAGTGCAGCACTTTGTCTCAGAAGTAGTTGCCAACATCAGCATTGTTGTTTCACTCCGGCCGACTAAACAGCCTCGCTCCGTGTCCTGCTAACCGTCTTTGTGATACTCTGCATGTACCCAATCAATGATTAAAAAAAACAGCATTTCATGCACAAACAGAAATGGATGGAGCAGAGTGTGACACAGATTTTGGTGTTCACAAAACACCAAAACACTTGTGTGTTTGTCTCTTTGAATACTCAGAAACGTACTAAGGTGTGTGTTCGCATCAGAAAACATGAAAGTGTGGACTTTCACCAGGAGATGCTGAAATGCACTCCGAAATGGGTCTTAGGGCTTTTAACCAGCATTTGTCTGAATTATCAAGAAATGGACATGTGCGTTTCTAGCTGACTGCATTTTCCTGGGCTTTCTTTAATGGCTTTGTGTTCCGGTGCTAAGCTGCTCCTTCCTACATATTTCATGACATCCTGATCTCGTCACAGTACACTTCTGCAGCTCAACAGCACTTCTCTTCTTTCTATTGTGTAAAGACTATCGGCTCTGGAATTAGTTTTCCTTTGTCTCCACAGTGTCATCGACTGTCTTATTTTATATATTCTGCTGTGCTGTGTATGTAGGTCAGGATAAAATATCAGTGGGAGCGCTAGATTAAACAGATGGGATCAGAAGAATCGGATGAGATTTAGCATTTTGAAAATTGTGCGTGGAGTGAGTCTGACTTGTTCACTCCAATTTTCAGACTTAGAAATATTGGACCAAACTGGTTTTCTACTGCGATGTCCAGTCAGATGGGACTGGAGATTGTACAAAAATGTGGCTTGACCTGCTGGGTGGCTTATACCAAAAGTGGTATTTGAATCGAAATTTTTACTTCCATCTAAATCCAGCAGATAATTTAAAAGCTTTTTAAGGCTTTTAGAGATTTTTAGACCTTCTAGTCTAAAAACAAAAAACTGAACTTAAGAGTCATCATATTCAGACCAGCATAAAAACTACAGCAATGTTCTTATTTTATTTTGAATATCTTAAAAATAACTAAAAGAACTTTTAGATAGGATATTATGATACTGAAAATGGCTAGAAAGAGGCAGGCTTGTAGTTAACGGAAAACGTGGTTTTTATACTTATCTTCAAATGCAACAGTTATTATAATTAACTGAATATTATTAAATCTGAAGGTTTTTTTTGACACAGAGTGCTATCTACTCTGTTTAGAAAACTTTAATACAATCATAAACAGCTTATTTTGCCAGCCAATATATCTGTGGCGGAAAGAAAAATGTCAAGTAAGAATTTTGACTTAAATAGACATTTTTCCCAACATATTACTAACTTACACACAAATTGCAGAAGAATCAAGCTTGAATCTTTGCGTAATTTATTTATTTATGTAATCTTGTATTCAAACCTCTATGAATACAAGTTTGAATACAAGATTGAAGGAATTTCAACTGGTGTTTCACGTGACTGACGGCAGACGCTCTGGGTTGGATTTCTGGCCCTTTGCTGCATGTTCTCTGTTTCTCTTCCCACTGTTCCTCTTTTCTACCTAGTAATGAGTAAAAGACACCAGTCCTACAAAACCTTGAAAAAGAAATGAAGTGAAATGAAATAAAGCATGTTCTTAACAGGATTACCAAGCAGTGTCAGAAGGAAGGAAGGAAAGAGAAGAGCTTGTCTTGTTTTATTAGATTACGGTTAGAATAACACAAAAGTTTAAATCTGTTATTCATGCCCAGGTGAAGCGTCCTACCACCGTCTCTTCATACTTTCACAGTTATGCGCTATTCACTTCAGCAAGTTTTAGTTTATTTAAAGTCAGTTTACTTATGTTTTCTTATTATTAAGTTAAAATGTATTTTAAGGTATACTTGTGTCAAAGATACTTGGTATCTATGGATTTTTGGGCCATTGCTCTTGACTGAATTGGAGAAACTGAGTCAGGTTTGCAGCCAGCCTTGCTCATGCATAACTTTTCAGCTCTGCGTGACGGAGATCAGGGCTTTCAATGGCAACTCCAAAAAAAAAAATGCTTTGGATCATTAACCAGTTATAAGAGCAGTTTGTGCTCAAGGTTTGACTTCCTGGCTGAAGTTTTGGCATGTTGCTTTAATATTTCCTCATAACATTCTCTCTTCTTGATGTTTGTTTTGTAAAGTGTGCCAGCCTTTCTCCTGTAGAAAATCACCTCCACTTTATATGATGTTGTTACCTTCATACTTCAAAGTTAGAACAGGGTTCTTCATTTTTCATGGTCACCAGTAGCCATTATGGTAAAATATTTACAGTTTAGCTTCATCACTCCACATGACATGTTTCCAGACATTAAGGTTTGTATAAACCGTAGTCCAATTTTTTTTTCTCTTTCTATGAGCCGGTTACTTCTTCCTCACTGAATGGCCTTCCAAAATACCGGACTCCTTTAACTTGGGTCAATGACAGACACTCTTTTACCATTTTTCATTGAACCACGTTGATTTCTTGAACTCAGAGCCCATCTCTGTCCTGAACAGTATGTGAGGGTTAAACATTCCTATGAATTTTATGGATATAAATCATGGCGGTTATATAAATGGGCTTAAAACAAGAGAAGCTTAGTCTGATTTAATTTCAGAACATGACAGAAAGTGTTATGTTTCCTTCAGTTAATGTAAACATCTGCTTCCAAATGTATGTTTGTGGTCAGAGCTTAATAGTAAGACAGATAGGAAGTCTGAGGAGATGTCTGTGTGTTTATGTGTGTGTTTGTTCATGCATAGTGTGTGTTCCTCATGTTTGTGTTGTGGCCGTGTTCGGTCAAACCCGCTGCAGGAGAGACATGTCAAGATCAATACACTCTGACCTCCTCTCATTTCACCTCCTCCTTCACTCTCTC